GTGATCACTGAACAGAAGGATCCACTACGGAGTCCTCAGGAGATCTGAGCAGGCAGGTCAGCCCACCTGAAGTCAGGTCAGCTGACGCCATCCGCGAGGGAACAGAAACACTAAGGACTGAAGGGCATGGCCCACAGCTCACAGGCTCGAGGGCACCTTCACACAGCCCAGGAGGAATGTCAGAGTCCCCAAAGAACACAGAGGAGGGGGGGGGGGGGGGGCAGACAGCTGTCATGAACTTGTGAAGAGGGAGGGGACTGCAGATATGATGGTAAGGGGGATCTCCCCGAGCAATGCCCTGAGTACAACACAGGTCAAGCCAGGTGACTGCCACAGGAACTCCCAGAGGGGCCTGAGTGCAGCAGGAGGCCGACATGCCCCTCCTTGGGTCCCACAGATTAGAGTGGAACCCCCATCAGAAACCAATGCTGCATTCAATGTGTGCAGAGATTTTATATCCAAGAAACCACCTTCCACAAATGAAAAAGAAACTATGCCTCTGCCAAACAGCAGCAGCAGCAGCAGCAGCAGCGAATCCCTACTGGCAGACTGCCCTACCAGAAATGCTACAGAGAGTCCTTCAAGTAATTGAAACGGAACCTACAAGAAGACACTGGGCAGAAGTGAAGGTGACGACGGGGGTTGAGCACACAAAGCAAAACACATGCAGTCTTGTTCAGGGTTCACTCTTGCCTCCGATTCAAGACAGAAGCAGCCATCAGCCTGATATGTGTGAAGACAAACCCTGTTCAACGGTGCTGGCCCAAAGGAGGGAGGAGAGAGCCCGAGCATGTGAACCAAGACTGCTCTAGGAAGGTGTTCCTGGAATGCCCGGGGCAAGCACTCAAATGCTTTAAAAACCTCAAGAAAATCAGAATGAAAAGAAGGCAGGATGAAAGACCCCAGAGGCAGATGACAGCGGGCACTAAAGTGCGCGCGGTGAGGCCCCAGGTGAGGAGGTGGGTGGAACAGTGGCAGCAGGGGAAGGGTCTGCTTAGGGAGTGAAGTGTTCTAGAACCAAGACAGCGCTCAAGTGTGGATGCACTGAAAACCACTGAACTGTGGTTGAAGAGCGAGAGTGAATTTTACGGTTTGTAAATTTTATCTCAAATACACAACATGCCTGCAATGAAAACTGACAGTACCAGATAATTAGTGTCCTCCTGGTGCCAGGGCAGGCTCCTCCCAAAGAGAAGCCCCATGGCTGCTGCCCTGCCAAAGCAGTAAGCAAGACTCAGTGCTGACAGCCCCTTCTCAGCAGAGAACTGAGCTAAGCAGCAACGTTGAACTGTAAGCGCCTGTCGACAGTGACCTAGAAAAGCTCCCTGTCTGAGAGAGTGAAACTGTTTTAGCATCCTATGTGAAAACTGAGAATGAGATCTTTTCCTGTCTGCAGCGGTTGAGGGCAGTATCGGGACAGTCCAGCAGCTGTGGGCCCTGGAGGACTGGAGGGCTGGAGAGGGAGGCCCCAAGTATCCTGCTCTCTTTCTCAAGGTGGTGCGTGGCCCGGTTCCCATCAGCACCTAGGTCATCAACACCAGAAACCCCTGGGTCTAGGTCTCCAGCGCGGGGAAGCCCAGGGCAGGCTGTGAAGAGCCTAGGGGGCCTGCCGGGGACTGCAGGTGCCAAGGGAGCCCAGACTCTCTACCTAGTTGCAATCATCAGAATGCAGGCTCCCATGGCAAGTTCTGACTAACAGGCATCACTTCATAATCATTCCTTCTTCAGATGGCTCTGATCACATCTCTGCAAGCAGTTTTGGCTGTGGCAGGTGCAAGCCTTCCCAGGCAGACTGTTCTCGCCAACCAGGAGGGAGCTGCAGCTGCCTGAGAGGCAAGGCTGACAGCTGTGCATGTGTGTCCCCCAGCGGTGGGTGGACTCAGGCGCAACCCACCTGAGGCCCACAGGCGTGCCAGGCCCACCCTGATAAGAACCCACCTAAAACATCCCCATTCCTTTTGGAGGACCCTGGCAGGAAAAGGCCACCCTGGGGTGCACGTGGAGTTTGCCATCAGGAGCTGAGCAGGGACAGGCTCTCATGTGAGGGGCCAGGCTTTAAGCGTGTCCTCAGCGTCCTCCACCAGCTGGGGCTGAACTCGGTGCTTCTCTGAAAGTGCTTCTGAGGCATAAAACACTTTTTTCACGGGAAAATCTTGTGTCCATGCCGAAAGTGTAAAAGCAGACCTGAGCAAGGTTGCCTTGGGAGGCTGAAGTATGGTCCACAAGTACCAGCCCCCACAAGGCCCCAAGAGCCTCAAACTCCATCCCACAGACAGTCTGGGCTTCAGTGTCACTGACCGTGGGCAGGGCGCAGAGGTGACTCTAGAGGAGCCTGGCAGGAAAGGCCAGCCTCGGGGCCTGCAGCACAGAAGGCAATGCTGAACCCAGGCCTTCTACTGGAGGTCAGATTGGGGCACTTACTGCCTGCCCTGTCCCCGGGAGGCTTGAGCAGTTAGACGCACAGATAGACCGGTGGCAAGGCACAGAGCTCCCACAGTGGCAGGCAAACTGGCCTCCCTCAGACATCAGGCTATTCCGCCCAGCAAGACCCCTGCCTGGGCCAGCCCCATAGCAGGACAGACATGCGGCCCAGTGTGGCAGTGCCCTTCAGGAGAGGCCCCGCCCTAGCAGCCCCTCCACAGACTGCATTTCCATCTCCAGCCTGGATCATTACTTCAACTCACCTGTCCTAAAGGGTCAGCCAATAATGAGAAGGTGTGTTTTTAAAAAGTCATTCTCAGGTTTTTCTGAAACTCCACATAATCACAGAAGATACATATACCTGAGTCATTCAAGAGCCAGGCGGATGCACCTGGAGGGGAGCTAGGGTGGGGAGCTGGCCAAGAGTGCAGGAAGACCTTGGGTCCACACCACGGCTGGCCACGGCTTCTCTCCACACTTGCAAGACTGACTTATGAGCAGACCTGGCTGTTGCCCAAGAGCAGCAGCTGCCCACAGTGGCCACTGGCACTCACAACTCCCTTCTGCACTCAGACCTCCTGCTGTCACCAGCAGAGGCTTTTCCACAGGACACAATTTCCAGCAAAAAAAAAAAAAAGAGCTTACGTTTTTAAAGAACGCTGTTCTCGAACACACTCTGAGTGGCAGTCACTTGAAGTCATCGACCGCCTCACACACACAGGCCAGGCGAGACTGCTGATAAACAACTCTGCTCCTCAGACAGGTGCAAGATTATTTGTGGCCTGGGCAGAGCATGGCCACATGGCAAGAACAGCATGTCCCTGCTATTTTGGGACAATGGCCTTGGCATGCCAGGGAACACCCTGCATGGTTCCTATAATGGCTGAGGGCAGAACTGGAGGGACACCAGAGGAAGTATCCCACGCACCTGGCAGGTCTGACCTCACCTGCAGACCCACCCACAGGGTAGAGAACAGAGAGCCCCCAATCACTGCCATAGGCAAGAACTTCAAGAGGCAGCACGCACAAGGCCATGTGGACCCCAATCCCATGAGTACAGCAGGAAGAGGCAGGGGCTCATCAGGACTCAGGCCACAAAGGCCCTGTTGGCGTCTCAGACAGACCAGGCCAAAGTCCCCACTGGGCACTGAGGCACCAGAACTGGTGTGCACCTGCCGGGTGGCAGGACGAGGGGTCATCAAATTATCTGATTTCAGCATACTCACTTCCCCATAGCCCAGCTGCTTCTGCCTGTGAGATCCAGACACCTTCGATCACGTACATCCCCCGGGATAAGAAAATGGCCCCAAGATGGGGAGAGCGCTCGGTGATGGTCCTGAGCACTGCGCACCCGCACCTCGGCAGGG